AAAAAAAAAAAAAAAATGGAACCGTAGAATCATGCGAACGTTGCAATCACACAATCATTTTTCTCAAGATGAGCAAGTATCTGAGCGAATTACATGTGCGTATACATGTAACTTACGTATACAAGAAATGACGATGAAAGCAAGCATTTCGCGTAAAGCAGAATATCAATATTGTTTGATTTCGTTGAAACGCTTAAAGTGATACGATCTGTTCCGAGTCAATGGCGGGAAAATGGAGGAAACAGCGCGTAAAGCGGCACGTGAATGGAAATTAGCGGAAGAGGCCGAAGGAAAAAGTTAAACAGCCAGAAAGAAAGGGAAAAATGAAATATCCACCGGTTGACCGAAGCAGAAAAAGCAGCGACAGAGTGGTAGGAGGGGAATAGAGGAGGGGAGTGGAAGATAGTAAAGCAGTCTGACAGATAAAAGAGGAAGCGAAGAAAAACTGGCTAAAGAGAAACAACGACGCGAGGGAATCCGTTTTCTTTACAATGATTGAAAGCGCATGCACAAGAAATATGATTGATGAGAAACTAGAACAGGAAACAGTGAACATTCTGTGTATGCGGTAATGAAAGAGTAATCCATAGCCGGTGTTAATACAGACGTGTACTCATTATCTGTTCATCATTCGCGAATATTATCGAAGTCGTTACACACATTCTTGTTGGTCTCTCAACGATTTCATGAAATGGGAAGAGAAACGAACTGCAGGATTAAAACCGATTTTACATTTATGTTGCAACAAGCATTCACTTTATGCGCAGATAAATTTTTATTACTTGATCTTACGAAATAATGCACAACATAACTTTTGAACAATGATGTGACGACCAATCGTATATTTTCATTTTTATATTCATCATAAACAGAAGATCATAAGGGCAGCGTTTGCTTCAATTTAATAAATGAAGAATATTTTTCATAGGCTTCCCCTACATTTACTGCACACATATTTTTTACAAATCATACAAGAATTAATTGTTTTACTATCTTTGCAAAATCTGACATGCTTTCCGCAAATGCGAAATATCACATTGATCACTTGATGTTCCTTGTACGTTTTCCTTTTCTTCTTGGAGAAATTCGTGATAGTGTTCGGCAAGCTCTTCTGCTAATTGTAGTAGAAATTGTTGTCTTGATATGTATTTTGTCTTGTTTCCTTATAAAGGATCCAAATCAAAGATGTTGAAGAAAAAAACTTGCACAGGCCATTTATAAAACTTGAATTTGACGCTGTACTTTCTCGCCATCGACACTAAATTTTGTTTTATTATAACACGCAACTGTCTCAGGTTATTCGCTTTCTATCGTTATTGATTTTTACACATTCATGCTTTGAACTTAGTATTATAACTTTTTTTCTTGCTTTGGATTTATAAACTGTTAGAGTGCAATTATTTGATTTATAAATTACTGCCGAGAAACAGTTCCATTTTGTACAGTTTCTTTTGTTGATTTCGCCAGTTTGAACAATTCTCTTCTGTTACTCCGAATAGTTTCAACTAATGTTGTTCGTTTCGTTATTCGGCTGCTTACGATAAACTGAACACAGCTAAGATCTCAGGGAAACTTAGAAAAAGATATAAATTTATCCACCAAACGTCAAATGACCGATGCGCGGTAAACAAATCGGGCGATGAATTTTTCTCAGTAAAAAAAAAGAAGTCAAAAAAGATCAATCGGATAATCCAAGAATTTACCATAAAGTTAGACGAACAAAGGAAGTAACAATAAATGTATTTTCAATTAAATCTTGAAACCTTGGTCGTTTCAACTTGGTACGGTTAGTGTTAAAAAAAAAAAAAAGAAGAAAAAAATATATATGGAGCTTGATGGAAATCGAAATTTGAAAGTTATAAAATTATAAAAATTTCACGGTTCATTGGCGAGCGATCTACTTCGTAGTCTTCTTCAAAACAGATGTTGTTTCCCCCTCCCCTGTTTCTACACCTGCCGGTAGAGGAAGCGTGCAATAATTCGAGTAAGAAAAAGGAAAAAGAAATGAAGAGCAACCTTGGTGAGCACCGCTGCACGCACCATCTTCCTCCGAGATGTCTCGAGAACGAACGACAATCGAATTGCAGCTCGAAAGCAACGAGATA